GTCTCTGCATTCACCCCCAGTGTCCCATCTGGCTCTCTCACCACTGACATCCCTGAGAAGCTTGGGAAGATGGAGCCAGAGCCTACCCCATCCCATCCCCACCCCTTTTCCTTTCCTTCCCTTCCTAGGAATGAGAAGATAAACAATGTTTTTTTGATAGAGATTGCTTTATTCTGAGCGTGGGGCCACCCTGCTGCCATGCCTTGTGGGGCACATGGGACCTGCAGAACCTCTGCTGCTTACCTCATTCTCCACCCTCCCACCCCTGCCAAGCTCAGCCCTGTAGAGGTTCCTGACTAGCTCTGGTCTCCAAGGGTTTCCTGAGTTTCCCAGTTGGGGGTGGGGGTTGGGCTTGGTGTTGAGAAGGAACAGGTGTCAGATGCCCTTGGATGAGGGGACCAGCTTCAGGAGTCACAAATCCCTGAGCCATAAGGAAGGGAGTAAAAGGGACACCTCTAGGCCTCCCTCCGGCCCAGCCCCAAGCTTGTTCCACCGACAGTACCACCCTCAGCACCTCCCTGGCCCCTTCCAGTCCCCAATGCTCCCTAGCATACAAGGCTGCCTGTGTTTGCCTCTGAGCAAGCTTCCTGCCAGAACCTCCCTCTCTGGCACAATCTGTCTCTGTACCCGATTCTAGGTCTTTGTACATCACTTCATTCAGTGCAGTCTGTGTGAGCTGAGCAGCTCTCACAGCCACTCACAGATGCCTCTGGGGGCTTCCTGCCCTCACCTGCCCGGGAATCGCATGTATGCTGTACCTGCCAGAGGCCCTGCATGCAAGGTTGTGGCTGTGTCCCCAGGAGGGAGAGCTCTGTCCCTATGACACCCAGGTGGGCAGGCGGGCAGGCAGGGCTATGTTGCCCTTCCTAGCCATGCCTACTGACCCTGAAGCTCAGGATATGATCAAACAAAGGGAGGTTTTCAGAGTAGGTTGCAGATGGTTTGGAGCAAGATGGGAAGGGTCAAAGAGATGCCCAGAGCACCATGGCTAGGGCCTGTTTGCCCTGTTCTTGCCATTCTGCTTCTCTGAGGTTTTGTCTTTCTCTGTCCTCTGTAACTAAGGGCAAACTGGGAACTCTGATGAGGGCAGCCCTTGGGTCCTGGACAGATCTCCCCCTCTTGGAAATCCTCTGCTTGCTCTTCTTTCATTCCCATCCTAACTCCCCTCCTTGGGAGAGGAATTCCTTGGCCTCTCACACTGCCATCGGTGCTGGTCTGCAGGGATACCATGCTCTGGGAAGCAGTTTTTTTCCTGGTGTATAATACATGTGACCTGTGAGGTCCTGGTCCAGTGATTGAATATGCCCAGTGGGGCTTTGCCAGCATTCAGAAGACAAGAGCCTGCCTCCAGTTTTCAGTACCCCTGTGACCTCCTCTCCCCTGCGATCACCCTGAGGATTCAGAACTTGGGGGCAGGCCTGTGTGTCCCTTTCCAAAGGCTGGTGTTGTCCTAGGGAGAAGCTCCTGTCTCTAGCTCTCTTCCTATACAGAGGACACAGTGGATTACAGTGGTCCTGGGCCTCAACTTGGTCAACTGAGTATTCACTGTGTATACCTGAGACCTGTTTCCTCCTTGAGGCCTCAGATGCTTTCAGAGCCTGAGGCTCTGGGCAGTTGCTGGCCCTTCCCAGAGTACTATAATGCAGATGTATGCCTATTTCCAGCTGTTCTGTCCCTGAAAACTGAAGAAGGAAAGGGGGCTGGCCACTCAAAGGAGCATTGGAAGCAGAATGCTCCTCACAAGCTCCCACGCTGCTGCTGACAGAGCTTGAGACCCTGTGCAGTCCTCTCTGCTCTGGTTTCTAGGAGGTCTCTAAAGCTTTTGTTGATGCATTAACCTTAGATGGTGTCTGCCTTCAAGTGTGTCTTCCTGGCCCCTGTCTAGGGAGGAGATGTAGAAGCCTCACTGAGCCCAAGTTAAAGACAGGGTGTCTCTCTTGAGGGATGGTGCCCTACTGGGGATGGACCTCAGAGAGATCCCTTGACCATTATCCTTTTCCAGATAACCCAGCTGCAGATGGAGGAGGCCAGACAAATAGAACCATAGGACAGGCTTCCTCTCTCCACTCTCTGGGTTGTCCTAGAGACATTCTGCCTTGGACCTTTCCTCCTCAGCCAAGGCCATATACCCTCTTTTCATCCACAGTGAACAGAATTCAGGCTTCTGGCCTGGTCCCTGCTACAGCCTTTACTTGGATTTCTGCTCTTCTGTAGCCAGAATTCTCAGCTCAGATAAGAGTGAGGATTGGGGAGGTGAGAATGCTGGCAAAACCTCCACCCACACAGTCTTTTTGGACTGGACACCTGTAGGGACCGCTCTCGGGAGGCCAAGCCCAACTCCAGAGCCCAAACACTATAGTTCTAGGGTGGGAGGTGACCCTGGTGCTTGGCCCTAATCTGCTTCCACTCATCCCCAGCGCCTGGTTCGCATGAATATGCCCATATCCAATGAGGACATGACGGTACATTTTACATCCACGCTGATGGCCCTCATCCGGACTGCACTGGAGATCAAGCTTGCCCCAGGTGAGTCATATTGCCTTGGGAGAGGGAGGGTATTGGCTAGCCAGTTCACTGACACCCTGAGGTGCCTACAAGACCTCTTATCTCAAAGCAGAGCAATATAAAAGAAAAAAAAAAGCAAATAAAATTATCTACTTAAGCAAACATGCAAGGAGGATGGAGAAGAAGCCAAGCTTTGGGGGACAACTGGACAGGGTACCTACTCTGCTAGGCACTGTTTCCCTAATGACTGCACATTAGTACTTTAATAACCTCATCTTTAGAGAGGATACTGGCACAGTGAAATGGAATCACTTGTTCTAGGTCATTCCAACCAGCAAACATGGTCTGATGCACTCATGTGACAGGCCACATGTACATTCTGCTCCCTCCTTTTATTTCCCCTCCACCAGTGGGGCCGTGTGCGCCATCACTTTCCCTCATCTGTGCTCTTGGCTACTTTGGTTATGAGGGGTGGATTCCAGTCCCCTTTGTACACCAGATCCTATCTTTTCTCACCATCTTCACCTCTGCTTCTTGCCTTATTTTTTCTCCACTGGGTCACTTGTATCAATATGTGAATATACTGTTATTTTTCCTTTAAGTTTCATATCTTTCCCCTTCATTGATGTCCCTGTTTTTCTTCCTTCCTAACAACCAGCTACTTGAGGGACCAGTCTCTGCTGATTTTTCTTTAATAGTTTCTTGTTGAATGATTATTGGGCCACATCTCAAAGCCCTATCTATAGCCTTCCTCAGATCTGACTCCTGTGTAGCCTTTTATGTCTGTTTCTGGCTTCTCCTCTGGCATTCCCCACCTCTGAACTGTGGGTATACTTCAGAACATTCTTCTTGCTGTTTACCATCTTACCCCTTCCTTATATTAAGCATATCATGAATTCCAATCTTGTATTTTCAGTCTAGATAAAAATATCCCACAAGTTTTGGGCCCCACCAGTGTTTCTCCTGTTGACTTGCCCAGACCTCAGGTTCTATCTAGATTATCCCACAGCCTTCCCTGGCTCCATCGGTGAAAACTCTGCTGTTCCTGCTCCCTCGCCAAAACCTTGGAGTTTTCCTTACTTACTATGTCATTTCTGATCCATGTATTAAAAATCTTAAGTGCATGTCTAGCAAACCAAATCTAGCAATATGTAAAAGAAGATAATAGGACTGGGCGTGGTAGCACATGCCTTTAATCCCAGCACTTGGGAGGCAGAGACAGGTGGATCTTTGTGAGGTCGAGGCCAGCCTGGTCTACATAGTGAGTTCCAGGACAGCTGGGGCTTCAGGGAGACCCTGTTGCAAAAAAGACAAAAAAAAAAAATTCAAACAAACAAACGAAAACTTGATACCAGGTATGGTGGCACATGCCTTTGATCTCAGAACTTGGGAGGCAGAGGCAGGCAGATCTCTGTGAGTTCAAGGGCAGCCTGGTCTACATAGCGAGTTCCAGGCCAGCTGGGGCTACAGGGAGAACCTATCTCAAAAAACAAAACAAAAAAAAGTTGACCAAATCTATCATCATTCATGCTAAAAATGTTTCTATGTAAAACAGGAATTAAAGATAATGTCATATCATCTAATATATGATAAAGAAGATATGTGAAAATCTACAGCTAATGTGCTAATTAACAAAGAAAACTAGGCTAAGATCAGGACTAAAGAAGTGGTTTGCTGTCAGTACTCATATTCCGTGTTGTGAGGTCCCAGCCGTTCTAATCAGGTCAGAAGAAAAGTCAGAGCAAGAAGTGAAAAAAAGCATTTGTGTTTCTTTGTACTAGCAATTAACAGAGAGAAAGAAAAAGTTCCATGGAAACAACACCACAACCAAGAAATACTTCTGTTTTGCTGGATAAGTCTAAGAAATTTCTCTATATGATTTATTATGTGAATTTCAAAGTATTCATAAGAACCAGTGAAGAGCTGAATAAATAGAGCAGTCTGTCATGTTCATGGTTGAGAAGTTGTTGTGGCTAAGATTTATCAGCTGTCATCACCCTGATCATCAGAATCATTGTTACCCAAGTCAAAATTCCAACAGATAAATCAATTCTAAAATTTCTATAGAAACGCAAAAGAACTTGAATGATAGTTTTGAAAAAGAATAACAAAGCTGTTTTTATATGTTTATGGAAAGGATATCATTCCTTATAAGTAGTACTTGGAAAATTCAGGCAGATATATATAAAAGGAAAAAGAAAATTTTTGATTCACACTTATTTAGCTCAGGATGTATATATTATTCTTGTTGCTATGACAAAATTCCTGACAAAAGCAGCTTTAAGAAAGAAAGGTTGGGACTGGAGAGATGGCTCAGAATTAAGAGTACTGGCTGCTCTTGTAGAGGACCCAGGTTCAATTCCCAGCACCCACATGGCAGCTACAACTGTCCCTCGTTCCAGGGGATCCGACATCCTCCTTTGACCACTGTGGGCATTGCATGACACGGGTGCACTCACATACATGTAGGCAATACACTCAACACATAAAATAAAAATAATAAATGAAATAAAAGGAAAGAAAGGTTTATTTTAGCTCATCATTTGAGGGGATACTGTCCATCATGGTGGAGAAGCGTGGCAGCAGGAGCCTGAGGCAGCTGGCCACATATCCCTGGTCTGGAATCAGAGAGAGATATATGCTGCTGCTCAGCTCCCTTTCTCCTTTCTATTCAGCTCAGGACTGTAGCCCATGGAGTTGTGCCACCCACATTTATGGTGCATTTTCTTTCCTCAGTCAAACCTTTCTGAAGACACACACACACTGAGGTTTGTCTCTGTATTAGGGTTCTCTAAAGAAACAGAACTAGTAGAATTACAGTGATTTATCAGCTTAGCTCACAGGATAGAGTCCGGGTAGTCCAATAATGGCTGCACCACACTGGAGAGGCTGAGAATCCAGTAGTTGCTCAGTCCACGAGGCTGGATGTCTCAGCAGTCCTAATCTGGCACTGAAGGCCTGACGAATTCCAAGTGATCTGTTAGTCTTCAGTCTACATTGGAATCTGAAGAAGTCAGTCACAGCAGCAAGACGAACTCATGGGTGAGAGAGAAGGCAAGGGACAAAAAGCAAAAGCTCCCTTCTGCTATGGCCTTTCATACCGGGTGCCATCAGAAGGTAATGCCCACATTTAGGGTGGGTATTCCAGCTTCAAATGATCTAATCAAGGTTTCTCTCATTTCAGTTAATCCCAGATCCAGTCAAATTGACACCAGGATTAGCCATCACAGTCTCCAAGGTGATTCTAAATCCCATCAGGTTGACAGTCAAGATTAAACATCACAGAACACCAGCACAAAATGTCACAGACTGGGTAGCTTACATAGGAAAAATATTTCTATAATAGTAGATGTCAATCATTAGATGCAGCACGGAGTCAGGTTTTTTTCTCTTGTGAAAATTTTCTACAAATATTTTGTGCTGGATAGCGTTAGTGTCAACTTGACACACCTGGGTTGAGGGAGCCTCAATTGGGGAATTACCTCTATTGGACTGGCCTGTGGCCATGTCTAAGGGGCATCTTCTTGATGAGTGATGTGGGAGGGCCCAGCCCACTGTAGGTG